TTTGAAGATATGGCCAAGGTGGACAAGACCCGTTATGAAAGAGAAATGAAAACCTATATCCCTCCTAAAGGGGAAACAAAAAAGAAGTTCAAGGATCCCAATGCACCCAAGAGGCCTCCTTTGGCCTTTTTCTTGTTCTGTTCTGAATATCGCCCAAAAATCGAAGGAGAACACCCTGGCCTGTCCATTGGTGATACTGCAAAGAAATTGGGAGAGCTGTGGAATAACACTGCGGCAAATGATAAACAGCCTTATGAAAAGGAGGCTGCTAAGCTGAAGGAAAAATATGAAAAGGATATTGCTGCATACCGAGCTAAAGGAAAGCCTGATGCAGCAAAAAAGGGAGTTGTCAAGGCTGAAAAGAGCAAGAAAAGGAGGAGGAGGAAGATGAGGAAGATGAAGAAGATGAGGAAGAAGAGGAAGATGAAGATGATGAAGATGATGATGATGAATAAGTTGGTTCTAGTGCAGTTTTTTTCCTTGTCTATAAAGCATTTAACCCCCTGTACACAACTCACTCCTTTTAAAGAAAAAAATTGAAATGTAAAAAAAAAAGATTAGATTATGCAGAAGACTGAATCTCAGATGTAGAAGATAAAACCTCTGACCTAGAAAAATTCACCAAAAAGACTGAGAAAATAACCTCCCAAAATGAGAATAATATATGAGTAATACTAGATACCATTAGATGCCCAAACATCTGGATAATTAGTATCCCAGAAGGTGAAGAAACTAATCAGGGCATTGATAATCTATTCCATGAAATCCTGGAAGAAAACTTTCCAAACCTAGAGAGGCATTCAAATATCCAGACCCAAGAAATACAAAGGACATCACGTAAAATCAACCCAAGAAGATCTTCTCCAAGGCATATCATAGCCAGATTGACCAAAACCACAGACAGAGATAAGATACTAAAATTGGCAAGAGAAAAACATCAAGCAACTTTCATAGGAAATCCCATTGGGCTATCATTGGACACCTTGTCAGAAACAATGCAAGCAAGGAAAGAATGGAAAAATACATTCAAAGTGTTAAGTGAAAAACAATTTCAGCCAAGAATCCTATACCTGGCAAGATTATCCTTCATGTGGGAAGAAAAGATAAAAACATTCTCAGATAAACAAAACCTGAAAGAATTTACCAACACCAGACCAGCTCTTTGAGAAGTTCCGAAGTGAGTACTATACCAGGAAAACTAAGACAGACAAATAAGAACCTGTTGATGATAATGTGTATAGTATTCTCAACTGGACTGGTTTGAGAAGTATTTCATGTTGGGTAAATTCTTTTTGCAAGTAAAATGATATATAGTAATTGAATGTTAAAAGAAATAATGAGAATAATAATCTGGAAAAAAAGGATGAAAAGCTATTTGATGATGATGATGTGGATAGTAATGTCTTTGTCTTGACTGATATGCATGGTATTCCTTCTGGAAAAAAGAAATGTAATACACTGTAAAGATATATATGATTCAATGTAATATAAGCAAGATTATGATAATAATAAATAAAATTAAAACAACAACAACAAAAAGACACACAGATACGAGAACAAAAAATGACCAAGAAAAAGGCAAACTTCGTGGTTGGGACAAGTTCCGAAATATCAATAATAATGTTGAGTGTTTGTAGAAATATCAGAGCACAATAACACTGCAAATTCAACAAAAGAGAGGTTACGTGAGACTGAACTGGTGAAATATAATTCTATGACTTTTTTTTCTAAAATAGTACTGATTTTTCTTCTATGCTTTGTCTTTCAGATTTAAGGGTTTTTGTTTTCTTTTGAGTTATCGAGTTCACCAATTTGTTAAGAAAAATTATTTTTAAAATTGAAACATAAACTTTTCTCCCTTCCTGACCAGTATGCAATTGGAAAATATTTGTGAGCATTCTTATTTTGTGACAGAATGATTATTTGCATAAGTTCAATAATAATAATATTACCTGTTGCCTTGCATCAAAAGTTTAATTTTTACTGGGCTTTGTGCAACTAACAGACCTAATTGAGATTAACCTAATTTTTTTTTTCAAACAAGTTAGTTTACACCTCTCTTTAGTAAAGGAATGGAGAGAGAGGGAAAAAAATTGTTTCAGAAGAAAATTTAAGTACACTTCTCACTAGATTCTAGCTTTGTCCATACTTTAATATCTTTTGTGAATCAATAAAATGTGAAAAAAAGTTTATTATGAAAGGGAGGGAGGGGAAAAGGGAAGGAAAAAACCAGTAAAAGTATGCTTAGTTGACAAAAAATGAGAAACTATTTGCTGATGATAATATATAGTAATATCCTTGTCTTGATGGACATGCATGGTTTTTGTGTTGGGAAAAAATGTATACTTTAAAGACGTGTGATAAAATGTGAATTAAAATAAATAAAAGTTAAGGGACCAGCCGATGGAATAACGGTTACATTGCTGGAGTCTCCTGTAGTGCCTGTGGTTCGAGTCCCAGACCTGGTGGCTTAAAATTCACTCTGAGCACACGTGTGTGCATGTCCAAAATCCTAAGAGGAGAATGGAGTACATGTCCTATAGCAAAAATCTTTCTCAAAAAATTTTTTTAAAATTAAATTTATAAAAAAGTAAGATGAGAAAATATGTTTTTTTCTCTTTTTTTCTTTTTTTGAATGATATTATGAACTGTATTCCATATAGTTACCTATCTGTCTACCTTCTCTTTTTAATTTAGATTTTTCTGTAGGGTCCTGTGCTCATTAGGAGAGACAGAGAGATAAACAGAGAGGGAAAGTGAGAAATCATCCCCAGAGGGGATGGCCATGCCACAATCCTTTCTCCTTTATTCTCCTATCAGGATTTTGGGCATGTGCACACATGTATCTGGCATGCTTTTCAAGCTGCTAGGTCTAGGATTTGAATGCAATGTTGGCCATGTGGGATCCAGAGCCCTAACGATCATGTCACCTGCTGGCCCTTATTCTTTTTTTCTTTTTAACTTTATTTTATTTTTTACATTTAATCACTGTGTATCATTGCAACATATCAAATGAGTTTTCCCATCATGAATACACCGCACATCGGTCTAGAAAAAATATTACCATATACATTATAATCAACAGATTTAATTTTGGTTCCTTTGAATGTTTTCCTTCATTCTTATTCCCCTTGATTTCCTCCCTCTCACCCTCCCCCATTTCCCATCCTCCTCCCACACTGTCTCCAGTATCATCGTTGCTCTCCATGCTTTTATACCTTCCAATCATTAAATTCTTGCCATAGAGTGCAGACTTTGGTAGATATTCAGTGCAGACATATAATGCCTTTCTTTCATCATCTGGCTTGCTTCACTTAGCAGTAAATCTTACTTATGCATCCACTTTCCATCAAATGCCAGGTCTTGCTTTTTTTTTTTTTTTAATTGACTGAGTAGTATTCTGTAGTGTATATGTTCCATACCTTTATAATCCATCCATCTGTGGACATTTGGGTTGGTTCCATGTCTTAGCAATTGTGCATAATGCTGCAATAAAAATGGATATGCAAGTGTTTTTCCAACTGAGGTTTTCCTGTCCTTTGGGTAGGTACATAGCAGTGGAATTGCTGGGTCATATGGTAGTTATATTTGTAGGCCTTTGACAAATCTCCTTATTGTTCTCCATAGTGCCTGTACTAATTTACATTCCTACCAACAATGTAGGAGAGTTCCCTTTTCACCACAGCCTTGTCAGCACTTATCATTCTTTATTTTTTTAATCTTAGCCATTCTGACTGGGGTTAGGTAGTATCTCATTGTAGTTTGATTTGCATCTCCTTTATGGTTAAGAGATGCTGAGAATTTATTTTTCATATGCTTTTTAGCCATTCATATGCCTTCCTTAGTTGTCTGTTCAGTTCATTTTCCCATCTTTTAATTTTTTTCTTTTGAATAAGCTGTTCGAGTTCCCTGTATATCCTCGTTATCAGTCCCTTATCTGAGGAATAGTTTGCAAATATATTCTCTCATTCTGAGGGTCATCGGTTCACTCTATTGTTTCTTTTGCTGTGCAGAAGATTTTTGATATGATATAATCCCACTTGTTTATTTTTAAGATTATTATCTGTGCTTTGGGGGTTTTGTTCAAGAAGTCTTTGTCTATCCCTATGTCTCTAAGAGTTTTCTTTGTGTTTTCTGTATGTTTTGTAGTTTGAGGTCTTAGGTATAGATCTTTTATCTATTTTTAGTTGATTTTTGTTAATGGTGAGAGAGAGGAGTACAGTTTTATCTTTCTACAGGTGGATACCTAGTTTTTCCAGCACCATTTGCTGAAGAGGTTTTCTTTTCCCCATGGGATCAACTGGTACTCTGTGTCAAAAATCAGCTGACTTTACCTTCTGGGGTTTATTTCTGTGTTCTTTATTCTGTTCCATTGGTCTACATGCCTGTTTTTGTGCCAGTGCCATGCTGTTTTGATTGTCACAACTTTGTAATACACTTTGGGGTCAAGGAGTGAGATGCCTCCTAATCCACTCTTCTTGTGCAGAATTGCTTTGATTATATGGGATCTTTTATGATTTTAGACAAATTATATAATTGCTTTTTCTTCTTTCTTTTTCTATCTATCTATCTTTTTTTTTTTTTTTGAGAGAGAGATTTTTGCTACAGGGAACATATGCTTACTGGAGAGACAGAGAAAAACAGAGAGACAGAAAGCAAGAAATCCTCCTCTAGGGGGATTACCATACCACAATCCCTTCTTGTCAATTTTCCTTTCGGAATTTTGGGCATGCACACATGCACACCACCCAGCATATTTTAAGTCACTGGGTCTGGGACTTGAACTGCAGTCAAATATGTGGGAGTTCATCAATGTAATCATTATGCTATCTGCTGGTCCCTACTTTTTCTAAATCTGTGATGAATGTCTCTGGTAACTTGATTGGGATTTCATTAAATATGTAGATTAATTTGGGTAGAATTGATGTTTTGATTATATTAATTCTTCCAATTCAGGAACATGGGGTGTCCTTTCTTTAATTAATTAATTAATTAATTAATTGGGGAGAGAGCAAACACAGTCCCCCACTACTACAAATTATGCAGTTGAGTTTTCCACATTTGGGGAAATCACAGTGGTTAGCACATTCGGAGTGTAATGGATAAGCCTTGCCCTGGGGAAACCACCTTCGTGATCATGGTATCTCCACAGCCAGGTAAGTATTCCTTTCACTTTTTTGTGTCATTTTCAATTTATCGTTTTAGATTTTTCATAGTTTTCCTTGTAGAGGTCTTTGACTTCTTTGGTTAGGTTTATTCCTAGCTATCTTATGCTTTTTCTGGTTATCGTAAATGAAATTGCTTTTTTTCAGTTCTACTTCAGTCTGCTTATTGTTGGTATATAGATATGCTATAAAATTTTTTTAGGATTAATTATTTAATTTATTATTATTATTATTATTATTATTCAATTTGATGAAAGAGGGAGAGAGAGGAAGAGAGAGAGAGAAAAAAAAGAGAAAGAAAGCTGTCAGGTTCAGGACTTGGATCATGGTCGACCATATGGGAGTCCAGCACCTTAACCACCATGCCATCTACCAGCCCTGATCTAATTATGTTTTAACAGGAACATTGTTACTGCTGCCTGGAGAAAGACTGCACAGAATAAAGAAGTAGAAATACGAAGATCAGCTTTCCCTATTTGAGTGTCTTTTATTTTATCTCTTGTCTGATTGCATTGGCTAGGATTTCCAGAACTATACTGAAAAGCAGTGGAAAAAGTGAGCAGCCTTGTCTTGTTCCAGTTTTTAGTGGAAACGCCTTCAATTTTTCCCCATGCAGTATGATGTTAGCTATGGGTTTTTCATATATGGCTTTCATTGTGTTGAGAAATGTCCCTTCTGTGCTGATTTTGCTGAGAGTCTCAAACATTAGGGATGTTGTATTTCATCAAGTGGTTTTTCTGCATTGATTGATACGATCATATGGTTTTTATCTTTCTTTCTGTTAATATGGGGTATTACTTTTATGGTTTTGCATATGTTGAACCACCCTTGCATACCTGGAATAAAGTCAAACTGGTCATGGTATATAATCTTTTTTATATGTGGTTGAATATAATTTGCTAGTATCTTGTTGAGGATTTTTGCATCTATATTTATCAGGTATATTGGTCTGTAGTTTTCCTTTTTTGTTTTGTCCTTATCTGTTTTGGGGATGAGGGTGGTGGCATCTTCATAAAATGAATTTGGGAGGGTTATTACTTTTGGATCTTTAGAAATGGTTTGAGTAGAATGGAGTTAGCTCTTCTTTGAAAGTTTTGTAAAATTCAGAAGTGAAGTCATTAGGACTTGGGCTTTTCTTTGTTAGGAAGTTATTTATTACTGATATAATCTCATTGCTTGTTATGGGTCTGTTCAGGCTTTCTATGTTTTTCTTATTCAATCTTGGTAGATCATATGTGTCTAAGAATTTGTCTATTCATCTAGATTTTCTTGTTTGTTGGCATCTAGTAGCTCATAGTATTCTCTAATGATGTTTTGTATTTCTGTTATGTCTCTTGTAATATTTCCTGTTTCATTGTGAATCTGATTTAGCTGGTTTCTTTCTCTGTTCTCCTTAATTAGTCTAGCTAATGGTGTGTCAATTTTGTTTATCTTCTAAAAGAACCAGTTTTTGGTGTCATTTATTTTCTGTATAGTTTGTTTATTCTCCATTTCATTTATTTCTGCTCAGATCTTTATAATTTCTTTTCTCCTGGCATTTTTAGTTTTAGTTTTGTTGCCATTCTTCCAGTTCCCTGAGGTGTTTTGTTAGGTGGTCTATTTGCTACTTTTCCATCTTTTTTTAATGCACACTATTTACAATGAACTTCCCTCTTATGACTGCTTTTGCTGTGACCCATAAATTATGGAAACTTGTGTGCTCGTTATCTTCAGTTTCAATTAACCTTTTTATTTGAGTCTTAATTTCTTCAGTGTTGTGAAGTCCTTCAGGAGTAGGTTGTTTAGTTTCCATATGTTTATATATTTTGAGGGTCTTTTCTGAAATTAATATCAAGTTTAATACCATCAAGGTCAGAAAAGATGCTGGGTATAGTTTCTATGCCTTTGAATCTGTAAATGCTTGTTTTGCGTCCTATCATGTGGTCAGTCTTTGAAAAGGTTCCATGCAGGTGTGAGAAAATTGTTTATTTTGTGGGTTTTGAGTGAAGACATCTATCTGTCAATTTAATTTGATTTATGGTATCATTTAGATTCTGTATTTTTTTTTGCTTATTTTTTGTCTAGATGATCTGTCCAAAGGAGATAGTGGGGTATTGAGATCCCCAACAATTAATGTGTTCCAATCTAACTCTCCTTTTAGATCTAGCAGTCTTTCCTTCACATATTTGGGTGGGTACTCCTGAGTTGGGTGCATAGATTTTTTTTCAGTCTGAAAACAGTCACTGTTTATATACAGACCAGATTACAGAACTAATCATGATGGATACCTTAGTTCATCCTTCAATAAGCTCGTTATTTTCCTTTTATTTATTTTTTTCATTTCATTTTCTTCCATACATTCAATCACATTATTATTTATCTTACAAAATGGATATCTCAATTCTTCCATACATTCAATCACATTATTATTTATCTTACAAAATGGAGATCTCAATAGGTGAACATTTCTCCTTAGTACTGTTGATAAAACTACTAAATATCTTCAACAGATAATACCACACCTCTTTGTGCCATTAATGAGTTGCCTCCCTGTCCCTCCCTAAATGTCCTTCCTTAGACCCTCCTCTTTCATACACACTATATCTGATATTTACAACTATATACTGTGTTTCTATATCCTTTAGGCAATTAGTTTCAGTCATAGAGTGCAGACACTCAGTATATATTAAGTAGGGACATACAATGCCTCTCCTTCATAGCATGGCTTGCTTCACTCAGTGGTAAGTCTTCCATATTCATCCACTTCCTGTCAAAATCCAGGGTTTTGTTGTTGTTTTTTTTTTTTATGGATGAATAGTATTCCATTGAGTATATGTGCCACAGTATTTCTAACCATCCATCAGTTTGTGGGCATTTGGGTTGTTTCCATGACTTAGCAATTGTGAATAGTGTCACAATAAATATCGATGTGCAAGCACTTTTCCGATTAAGTCTTCTTCTGTCCTTTGGGTAGATACCAAGGAGTGGGATTGCTGGATCATATGGTAGTTCTATTTGTAGATTTTTGAGGAATCTCCAAATTGTTCTCCATGGTGGTTGGACCAATTTACATTCCCACCAGCAGTGTAAGAGAGTTCCCTTTTCACCACACCCCTGCCAGCACTTATCATTTTTTTTTTTTT